ACCTCATAAATGTGTCCAAAGTTGATTGTATTTACAAGTTTTCATTAAAGATAAAATAAGCCCAAACTCTAGACAACTACTCCCTTGCATGTCTCAGAGGCTCCAGGCTTCTCAGTGACCTACTCCCTTCTAGCTGAGCTGACGCTGGTGGATAAGAATAGCCATGAGCACCTCTGCATCGTGTGCGTGTGTGTGCGTGTGTGCGTGTGCGTGCGTGTGCACGGGCGTGGGCGTGTGCGTGTGTTTGGGGTGCTCACTTCAAGAACTTAAAAATAATTCTCAAAATACATAGAGAAATCATCTTACTGCTCATGTTCTCTTTTTAGACCCAACTATAGTTAGACTTCCCCATAGGTTCACTCAGGCATTTACTTGGTAGTTAGTAGAGGGGGAAACAGATGGGAGCTGCAGGCCTCCACCTCTGCCCCGCCCCACGCCTGCCTGGGTTATTCATACAGTGAGTGTCCCTTGGACTCCAGGCCCTGTGTGAGGCAGGAGGGATACAGTCATACCTTCAAGAGGCTCCAGGCAAAGTAGAGGATTCTCGGTCACTAATCCTCCAGTGCTCGGTGCTCAGGAATTCTGCCATGGCGTGGCATCATGATAACTCTGCTTGTGCAGCTGGACTCATATCTCAAAGAGTTGAGAGTCTGGAAGAACCTTAGTTCTTCCTTAGCTATGCTGGTATTCCTCCGTAGGAGCATTTCCTCAGTAGAAGCATTTCCAGTGTTTTGGATGAGACTGTCCTAAGCATCATAGGAAATTTTTGCATTCCTGGCTCTGCCCATGAATTCTACTGACATAAGCCCCTATTTTAAATGAGAGTGGGGGGGGCGGAGGAGTCCTGTGGATCCAAACTGTCCAGTGGTCAGGAAAAATGCTACTGATAATCTTGCTTACATTTTGGCTCCAAATACCATTCCAACCCACTGTCCCCCACTCCCAAGTGAAAATGCCACCACACATTTCCAACAGCCTCCTAAATTGAGAACCACTGGTCTACCCAGCTCTATCTGAATATTAGGCAACTTGTCTTTTCATGCCATTTTTCTCAGAACCCAGCAAAATCAAGACCCAAAGTTCAAATTTTACAACAAGGTTAGTTACTAAAATATGCCTCTGTTTTTCATTCTTTCAACTGATATTATTTTATCAGAGTTATATGGTATGTGTTGAGAACATTAAATCTGATCCTTTCAGATGGATCTAGAAAAAAAAATTGTGAGCACTTTCAGATTATTTAAACATACAAGGTTTTGGTATAATATTTTTTACCTAAATTCCATTGCCCATCCACCTCTCAGAGTCCTTCAATGAGAAGCCTGGCTTTCCTTCTGTGTTCATTATCACTGTGCTTTTGTCCAGCGTCTCCTGGGAGAGGTATTGTTACCCCATTAAATATGAAGGACAGAAACAAAACATGCTGGCATAGAAAGCTCTGGATCTTCATATGGCCTGAGCTGTGTATCATGTATCCTGACTTGGGCACCAAATCACCTGTCAAAACGCAGTTGCTTTCATACACCTGACCAGCTCTCTTCACCTGCCTTTGTGACTTTCTCCCTATACACTTGAATGCTCTGGAGACGAGGACAAATCATTTGTCCCAATTATTGGTGCATTTGAGAGCTTTTAATTCTTGAATGACTCTTTTCCTTCATACCAAATGGTATAGTTAATATCGAGAGTGATTCTTTCAAATGGAATTTTCCTGAAGGAATCTCGGATTCCGTGAACAATTATTTTTGTGGAGGTATCTAGAATAAAGTTGGGCTGTTAACTAGATGGATGTTCTGATCTCCTCCTCTTACTGTGCCAAGCAGGGATATTACACCTTGTGGGAAGGAGAAACATTTTTTATCCTTTTAGTTTAGTTTGTGTGTTGTTGTTGTTGTGTGTTTTGTTGTTGTTGTTGTTTTGCTTGCTTGCTTCTTAAGTAAAACCAATCTAGTTTCTTTTTCTGCAGCAGAGGAGGAAGGAACAAACAGCAAATTAATCACACAGGAAGCGAATAACCACAGGAGAGCGGCTGCCTCTGACTCAGTATGTCACATTTAATAAGAGGCCAGAGCGTGTCCAAAATGACTGTCCAAAAGCGACTCCACATTTGCCTTAGAAGATGATGCCTTTTTCAGGGACCGTTTTCTCTCGGGGTTCATCTCTTCCTTGCTCTCTGTCTGCCTGTGTCCCTGATCATGCCTTCCGACAGTATCCATTAACGGTAAGAAAAATTATATTTAAATGTATGTTCTTTATCAGCTAGAGGGGAGCACTAAATGGCTTTTAACGGCCGTAGTATGTCGAGATAAAGCTCAGTTTTTCAATGGAAGACCACGTGGTCTGTTCCTCTTGCACAGAAGGCCAGCTTCACTGCTATGGTGATTGCAGGTGATTCATAACTTGTGTTTGGAGCCAAAATGTAAGCAAGATTATCAGTAGCATTTTTCCTGACTCCTGGACTGTTTGATCCACAAGTCTTCCCCTCACCCCCACCCCCACCACCTACCTCCCCACCCCTGTTTAAAACGGGGCCTTATGTCAGTCAGGAAGTGTAACTTTTCTGTGTATGGGGCAGTCCGGGTGCCTTTGACTGTGCTTTGGCCAGCAACAGCAAATGCTTTTAAAGTAAAGGGAGTCACTGGAAACTTCAAAGGAAAGCACCATGGAACTAAACTGTTGTTATTCTACTGCAACAGACAGACGTTACTTCAGTACAAATCCTAAATGAAACCATTTCTAAGCAGTCTTTAGAGAAGATGAGTTCTCTTTAGAATCATTCAACATCCTACCAGTGCAATCCATGCACAACCACTATTGCTAATCCAATTCCGTAGCATTTGCTATAACTATTTACATTTAATATGATTAATATTTTGGCATAAAATATTGTAGTTTTAAAATTTCAAGCCTAGTACCCAGAGCCTAGAACCCAGAGACCTACAGAGCAGGATTGAGGAAATTTGGGGGTATCAAAAAGTTTTTTTTCCCTTTGGGGCATGTATAAAAAAGCAACTTGACATTTACATTCCTCTCCCCCCCCCCCCCCCCCCCATGAAGCAATAGAAAATAAAGCTTTAAAATATTAAGAGGGCACATGCCAATTTAGTCAATAAGTACAAGTTCTTTTAAATAATTCAATGGTCTGAGTAGGGTATACAGTAGGAAACGGGGAAGTGGTCAAATGATAACGCTGCAGGAAGAAAAGTAGTACAGCTGGATAGAGAGAAAGGAAGGACGAGGAGAAGCCTGGGGAAGGTTCTGAGGTCAGTTCGTGTGGAAAATACCCTTACTATTCACTTGGATGGCGGGTCTTAAGCATTATATGTTACCTTCATAAAGCTATCTTGCTTCTGAACTGGAACATCATCTAGCTAAAACTATTTTGTAGTCTAAAGAGATTAAATAATTCTCTTAAAATCAGTTGGGTTTTCTAATGCTCTTTGAAAAGTTCACTCATGGGTCACTTGTTCACAGCCCTTCAATTATTCCAATATCTAAACCTTTAAAGGATTGCACATACTGTGAATGAATTGTAATACTTAGAGAAATCCCCATGAAAATCATCCCTCGGGGATCAGCAGCAAATCTACCCTGATCACCGATGGTATCAAGTTCTAGATCTGGCCTATACTTTGGAAGTTCCCCAACCCATGCTAAAACGTAAGAGGAATGAGCTACCTAATTCCTGGACCTTTTCAGTTTTCTGCCCTTTTGAAGGCTTGTTTAACGTCTCGTGAACACGTCATTTACTTTGGAAGTTTCTGGCTGCTTGCGATTTGACTTATTTTTGTTACACCAAACTTTCATACATTTACTTCTTGTTGGAGGGAGCATTTCCCCTCCCTGGCATAACTACCTCTGTCTGTATTTTGCAACCCTCACTCCTGAAAATTAAAACTGAAAATAATACTACAATAAGGAATGCCTTAATTAGAATGCTTTTCCGAGAAAATTAAAATTTCTTGCACACCCCCCTTCACCATTCATTTGTAATGCAGAGGTTTACAAAGATATGGACATGTGGAGTAAGGTTTAAATCAACTTGTGTTTTCTCTTTCTCATCATAAAATGGGGGGGCGGGGGGATCAGTAACAGTTATTGAGCCCTTTCCTATGTTAGGCTCTTTACTTTCACTTATTTTATTTTTAAAAAATGGCTAAAGTTATTAAGCACTTGCCTCATTTAATAACCCTACTTAATAGGTGCCATTTTCCCCATTTTATTGTGGGAACTGGACTCAGAGAGGCTAAGTAATTTCCCAAGGCCACCTGACGACTAAGTGTGTAGGAAACGTTCTGTCATTTAAAGAACTTTTTTCCTAAGTGCAGGTTAGAGACAACATCAGATGCCCTTTTCCAGGCCTGGAGTCTGGGGTTATGCAAATGCTTCGTTTTAAATGTCACAGCAACAGTAAATAGCTTTAAAGTGAATAAGACATTTTTCTTTCTAAGTCTTTGACCTTTGCAGAAGTAAGTTTGGTAACACTTCTAACTTATATAAGAAAGGCTCCACCTTTTCTTTAAAAAATTATTTTAAAAAGAAATATCCTCAAGGGAAAAAAAAGGCCCCACTTTCAACAATAAAATGAATAAAATACATCAAGTGTGTTGACATATATGCAGTGTGTGTGTGAGTGCATGCATGTGTATGAATCTGTGTGTGAGTGAGTGTGCGTGTATGTATGTGTGTGTAGTGGAGAACAGGGGTAGATCTTAATTCCATGATAAAATTAAAGGTGGTGCTGAGGATTTAGGAAAATTTGAGATTTGAGCCCCTTAAAGACAATGCTTGGCAGAGATGGGAAGTAGTGGGAGGAAATCAATACGTTTAGTTATGTGGATAAAGTAGAACAGGGTTTCCCTTCCCTTCCTCACAGTTAAACAACAGGTAGGTGGGTCATTCAACTTACTTTCATTTTCTCACTTTTGAAAAGGCTTCATGTCCATGAATTTGCATTAGTTTCTAAATTAAACATATATGACAGCAGGTTAAAAAAATAATTTTACTTCATAGCAGCCTTTATTTTCCTAGCAGTTTACTCTTACAGTAAAATTGTGAGTTGGCATCATACTAATTGTAATAACATTGTAGATGCTCCAAAATGTCTTCTGAAAAATGCCTTTCCCACCTCCCAAATTAATCAACTCTTTATCTAAATAAATTCTAAAAGAAGTATTTACAAAATAGCCAAGGACCCTCTAACCCTTAGGCCAAAACTCTTGCTGTTGAGAAGACAGCCCATAAGCACAATTAACTTAACATCATCTGAAGTCATGTTCAACCGAGAAAGGAGCGAGTACATTTTGAGAAATAAGGGGTTTCAGGTACAGAAAGCTTGTATTCCACATTCAGCTCAGACTGAGAATAAAGCAACACCTAACTAGGCGAGGCTGTCGCTCTACTTATCATAAAGCAACCCTTGCTTCTCTGCTCCACCTTCTGCTTCCTCTTGGGCTGAGCAGCCTTTTCTGTCTTCCCTCTTGTATCGATTGCCTCATTGCCTGCAGCCCTCTGAGCTTGGGCCTGAGAAGAGGAAAAGTTACAATAATAGGAACAAACTTTATGCAAAGATGTTACATTTTCTAAAATGGCCAAAGGACATGCACGGTTGGTGGGGGTGCGGGTTGGGGCACAGAAATGTTGCACTGTGACTGGTATCGTCAAACAGAAACTACAGGCGACTGCAGCTGTGAAAAGATTGTGCTAAAGAAACAGGATGGCTGTGGTTTGCTGTGAGCATCAATTTTCCTGTTGAGCATTTTTACAGGAAGTTGAAGAACAAAGCCAACTTCATCTTAATTTGTACTAATGGTTTTCAGATCTTTTTTTTTTTTAATTAAATCTTTATTGTTCAGATTATTACATTTGTTCCTCTTTTTCCCCCCCATAACTCCCCTCCTCCCAGTTCCCGCCCCACCCTCTGCCCTCACTCCCCACCCACTGTCCTCATCCATAGGTGCACGATTTTTGTCCAGTCTCTTCCCGCATCTCCCACACCCCTTTCCCCCCCAAGAATAGTCAGACCATTCCCTTTCTATGTCCCTGATTCTATTATAATCAACAGTTCATTCTGTTCATCAGATTATTTATTCACTTGATTCTTAGATTCACTTGTTGATAGATGCATGTTTGTTGTTCATAATTTGTATCTTTACCTTTTTCTTCCTCTTCCTCTTCTTAAAGGATACCTTTCAGCATTTCATATAATCCTGGTTTGGTGGTGATGAATTCCTTTAGCTTTTCCTTATCTGTGAAGCTCTTTATCTGACCTTCAATTCTGAATGATAGCTTTGCTGGATAAAGTAATCTTGGTTGTAGGTTCTTGGTATTCATCACTTTGAATATTTCTTGCCACTCCCTTCTGGCCTGCAAAGTTTCTGTTGAGAAATCAGCTGACAGTCGTATGGGTATTCCCTTGTAGGTAACTGAGTTTCTTTCTCTTGCTGTTTTTAAGATTCTTTATCTTTTGTTCTTGGCATTTTAATTATGATGTGTCTTGGTGTGGTCCTCTTTGGATTCCTTTTGTTTGGGGTTCTCCGCGCTTCTTGGACCTGTAAGTCCATTTCTTTCACCAGGTGGGGGAAGTTTTCTGTCATTATTTCTTCAAATAGGTTTTCAATATCTTGCTCTCTCTCATCTTCTGGCACCCCTATAATTCTGATGTTGGTACGCTTGAAGCTGTCCCAGAGGCTCCTTACACTATCCTCACATTTTTGGATTCTTTTTTCATTTTGCTTTTCCGGTTGGGTGTTTTTTGCTTCCTCGCATTTCAAATCATTGACTTGATTCTTGCGCTCCTCTGGTCTGCTGTCGGGAGTCTGTATAATATTCGTTATTTCAGTCCGTGTATGCTTAATTTCTAGTTGGTTCCCCAATATAACATCGAGGGTCTCGTTAGTTTTCTTGTAGATCTCATTGAGTTTATCGGCGGCTTCTAAACAGTTCTTGAGAGACCTTAAAAGTGTGGTTCTGAACTCTATATCTTCCATTGACAATTTTGTCCTGTTTCTTTGTCTCCGCATTTTGTTATGCTTCCTTGGTGCACCCCCTAGTGGTCTTTGTTCACAGTCTTATAATTAAACCTTGATTGTTGTAGCTAATACCAGGGAGGGTTTGACCTCCAGGCCAAGTGGCTATGAGAATCAGCTGTGTCAGCAGTGAGAGAACTTCTGTCCTCCAGGGAGGTGCTAATCTAGCCTTTGCCTGAGGCTATCCGACAAATGCCTGTGTGCAGGGCTTGGGCAGGGCGGGTCGCACAGGATCAACAGGGTGGGCCGGAGAGAGCAGTTATGGCGGCTCTCAGTCCTGTCCCCAGGGGCTCTGCCTCTCTGAGTCCCAGCACCCACTGCAAAGCTCGGAGAGAAAGCTGCACTCGCTCTGACCGAAGCCAGATAGTCCCGTTTCTCCCATTTGAGTCTGGGTCGCTAAAGACTCACCCGGATCTGGAGCTCAGAGTCTGCGACTCTCTCCCGATTGAAAACGCCAACCGCGCCCTCCGCCGCCAGCCCGCTCCGCGCACTCCGCACCTCAGAACTTGACTTCAGCACTGCGCCTCCTCTGAGTGTCCGTATGCGTTTCTCTTTCCTCCTAGTTGTAGGACTTCCACTCAGCCAGCGTTCCTGTGGTTCTGGGTGATGTCCCTTCCGTCTTTTAGTTTCACTTTTGAAGTAGTTGTTCAAAGCAGCAAACTCCGGCGTTAACCTATGCCGCCATCTTGGTTCTCTGGTTTTCAGATCTTAAACACATCCCACTAAGTTTGCATCATGGAGGAGCCTCTAAAGAATAGAACCAAGAATAATTGAGTAGAAATCCCAAAACTACTAGCTTTTTAAAATACAGGATTTTAGCAGCAATTTGAGTTGGCTAAATGGCTTACTTTTTCAATTGTAACTTGGAGTGGATTCATTGCTTTATAATGAATGCCTCTGAAATCCTTTCTTATGATTGTAAGAAATCAATATAAATTTAAGTGCCTTTTCTTATTAAAACACTGTTGAGTTATACTAGTATATATTACAAAGTTCTTTCTATTAGTATTTATTGGTCAAGTAATTGTGTGTATGTGTGTGTGTGTGTGTGTGTCCGTCTGTGTATTTATAAGCTAGAAGGATATACATCAAGATGTTAATGAAAATTACTTGGGCATTATTAACCCCAAATCTTTTCACCTAAAATTTAATTATTATCAAATGCTTCCTTCAGTGGTTAAGCGCCACTGTTGTGTTTCATTTTCATCTTTGTGTATTTTTGTGTTGTCTATTGATTTCTAAATGAATAAATGCTACTTTTAGAAGAAAAAAAATCTCAAAATAATCAGTCTGAAAAAGCCAAGAGAATGTGAGAAATACATACATAAAAATACTTTAAGAACATTATATATAAAGTAAAATATAAATGAATATAAATACAGATAAGGTACGGAATAAAAAGTGATGAGGGTAAGAGAGCATTTGGACCTTTAGATCTGTCCAGTTGTATTATTTCTATTATAGCCACCCCCCAACCCCCCCCCCCCACACACACACAGAGTGAATAAAATACTCAATTGAGTTAACCTTTTTGAAAAAAAAGTTTAAGTTTCTCCTATTTGTAGTATAGTATTTAAGTGACTTGGCAGTATTTATATAGCAAAATGCTTTATAGTTTTGAATAATACAAAATGGTGCTAAAACATAACTGGATAAACCTGCTTCTTATGGTCTCGAATAGAACATGGCCGATTCAGCAAACCACCCCCGCCCCCCCCGCCCCCCCCCCCCCCCCCCCAACCACACACACACACACACACACACACTTGGGATAGAGGCAGCCTTCTGAGGATCATCAGGTGCTTTCATTGGACAGAGTTGGAAATCTCTTCCCTCTTCATGTCATTCTGTAGTGGGGGCCTCACATGGCATGATCTAGTGAATTTAAAGTTGGCTCTGTGAAACTAAGAAATGGTTTACTTAAATAACTAAGTCGTTCTCTTGATCCTAAGAAAGTGGATCATTTTATACTCAGAAATAATTCTGCTTTCTTAGATGAGCACATTGAAGAAGAAAACACAAGTTTCCTGGGCTGAACTGTGGGCTGTGGTTGAGCCTCTTGTTGGCCATGCCTTCGGGGCAAGTATGTCTGTTAGAGGGTGAGGAGTCTTTCTCACAAGTGTTCCTCATAACCAGTACCACAGATTTAAGAAATGGCTCTGGGCTGCAAGATGCCCTGGCTGGTCTAGGCCCAATGTGTGATGCTGTCTAGTGTGAGTGTTAATTCATAATGCTGACCTACTGGCATTATAGTAAAACCAACAAAGCCAACCATTTTGTTCACAGGCAGTTCCAGGGTTTCTAAATATTGATGCGTGTTGTGTGTGTATGTGCATGCATGTGTGTAGGCAACGAAGAAGAACCAACTAATGAATTTTTAATTTATGCAAAATATCCTGCTCTGTTCTCTCAATCCATAGAACCAATCCCTTTATAAAAGTTTTATTAGTAGATCCCTCTCCTCACTTCAACAGCTTTTCACCTGAAATTTGACAATTTTTGAATGATGTATTTAACTATTAAATAAGACTTGTGCAGTCTCTCACATACCTAGGGTTTGGGATAATTTTTTATATATATATCTTTAATGTATGACAATCCAGAGATATTTTGGTGTAAGAAATCGATTGATGGGTATTTTAGTCAAAAGCTATTATTTTGTAATTTCCACAATGGATAATGGACGAGTATTGTTAAAACTGCGTATTCGTTTGCTAGGACTCCATACCAAAACCTCAGACTGGGTGGCTCAAACAGCAGAATTTTATTATCTCTAGAGGTTAGAAGTCCAAGATCAAGGCGCCAACAGGTTTGGTTTTTCCGAGGACTCTCTTCTTGGCCACCTTCTCCCTGTGTCCTCACAGGGCCTCTTCTTTATGCTCATGCGTCCCTGGTGTCCCTTCCTCTTCTTATAAGGACCTCAGTCATATTGGATTAGAGCCCACCTAATGGTCTTATTTTAACCTAATCACCTCTCCGGAGGTCTTATCTCTAAATAGAGTCACATTCTGAGGTACTGGGTAGGGGTTGAAGCTTCCACATGTGCATTTGAGGGGGACACGATTCAACCCATAACACTGTGTATGAAAACAAGAAAGCCTTTTCCATCCCTGTGGGTTTTCTTTGTGCACATAAAATTCAACACACAAGGTGAATGTTTTAGAAAAAAATCTGGCTTTTCTCCCTGTGCTCAAAGTTATTTAAACAGTGAAATGATTCTTTAAAATAAATTAATTCTCAAAAAATGTATGCTCTTAAAAATGTAATGCCTGAGGTGGGGGTGGGGTGAGAGGGCAAGGATCAGCTGATGGGAAGGTCAGTGATCCTCCAGCTTCAGGGAGACTCACTACAGTGGGAGGCGGGACACGATGATCTCAAAGAGCTGATTCTGATGCAAGAGAGAGCTCCCACTCCAGGCCCCCTGCCCTGGTCCTTTCCCTTGTGTGAGGACTCCTGCTGGCCCCAGGACAGGGCTGCCTTTCCTGCCCTGCTCCC